GAAAAGCATATGTCTGTTTTAATATTGCCCCTTTTGCTTCAATATGAAATGCTTGAGATGTGATCGAGGCTCATGCTGTCATTTTAAGTCAAAACTKCTGGAAAAATGCTTTTAAAAAGCTCTAATTTGGACAGTCAGGCCTAATTATATAATTTTCATCTGTCAAAGGGAGTCCCAGCGTGCATTTATCATGCAGATAATATCAAATCATGGACACTCACTTGGCTATTCGCTTCACAGCACTGATGCTGCTGTTGACCCAACATGAACCGGCAGCTTCTTTAAAAACACCTTTAATCTCCTCCTCAGGAGCAACAGACTTGAACTGAACATCATYGTGGTTCAAGGTTCACGAGCTCAGATCAGCCAACATGATCACACCGGCAGAGAAAACAGACGCTTARACTGAGATAAGTGCTGAAAGCTGCATGGTACAGCAGACGGGTGATAATAAATGCAAACTAGCAGGCAAAAGAATACTGTAAATCACCACCTTGAAGAAGTCTGTGAGAGATTTATAACTATAGTTTCTGTCATATTCATATGAAAAAAAAAATTTTAAAAGATATTTTGCATGTGGGTGCTTGCTTCCACAACAATTGCCAAACCTCAAAATATTTCCTTTTTCTTTTTCTCTTAAAATGAGTTTTCTTCTTTTTGGAAAATAAAAAAAAACCCTCCAAACATCATCTGGCTCTATCTCGCTGTGCTTTTATTTGTGAGCACACAAAAATCTTTCACAGTTGTCTCCTGATTTCCCCCCACCACCACCACCGCCCAGCCCACCTCACACAAAAAGAGGCAACAAAAAGCAACCCAAGAATGCCCGCGTTTAATGGCCCTCGTTTCCAGCAAGAGCTGCTGCTTCTGGAAAATTGTGGTCATTCTGCCGTTGCTCGCAGGTATCTTAGAAAAAGTGGATAAAAATGTGATTTTATTTTATTTTTTTCTCCCCCTCTGTCCCAAAATAAGCTCTGGATGTTACAGAAGCTGCTCAGAATGTGTTGAGTCATCCAAACAGATTGTGTTGGCTGACCTTTTTGCAGTTTGATCATTTTTGGTAATTAGTCTGAATGGATGATGAAACAAGCAAAAAGCTGGCAGCGTCAACAAATAGCACTAAGTGTTTTTTATCACGTCCCCTCTAAAATTCATCGTGAATCTCAGGGTTGTGCATGAAGAAATGTGAAAATGTTATTGTGCTTAACCATCTGGCTGGAAAACATCAAACTCTCTTTTTTTTCTTCTTCTTCTTTTCAAATAAATTACCAACCAAACCATTTTTAAAAAGTGTTCAAGTTCAACAAACAGAGACTACTCAAACAGTAAACCGTTTCCGTTCAGTATGTCTTCCTGGCATCTCCTTTCATGCCTTTAATGAATGACTTTAAAAGAGGATAGCTTATTAATAATTAATAACAGGGTTAAGATATGCTCTAATGTCTTTTACTGCCTGTGTTAAGCAGGAAAGTTGGTGCCAGCTGAAGAAAGAAAACAGAAAAACAAACTCTGCTGATGCTGTGGCCATCAGAGAATGTAATCACATAAGTTTTCACAGAGACACCATCAGAATGGACACATTTATCTCGCTGAAAGAAAGAAGGGGGAAAAAACACAGAATGAACAACATGCGCCTCTCTGTTCTCAAAGTCTGTGTACTGTTGCCACAAAAATCAATATTCCAGCTTCATTCAGTTACACAGAGAGCAAGTAGCTCAGGGATGACTGATGCTCTGCTGCCAGTGGTCATCGTGGAGGATTAACCAATAAAACAATTCCACCAGAAACACCTGATATTCAGTGGAGGAATAAGAAGACTAGATGTAATGGTTGTGCATACTGATTTACATAGTTGCATTCACTACGTTCAGTGAACGCAGAAAGAAACGTCCACACAGACGTGCGTGCGCACAGATGCCCAGCAGCGAACACGCGCACTTTGGCACATGCGTGTGAATGGGAAACTACTTTACGTGCCTGAATCAACACGTTCATCTGATTTGTGACCTTTTTTCCCTTTGATATTTCATTTAAACGCAGCAACAAARATCCCACAATTTTATGCAGAAAACTCGAGATGAAGTCACAGATTTTCCGTCACACCCGAGTGAAGCAAGTTCTTTTGCCCGTTTCCTCCCACCGACAGGTAACTTCAGACACATTTAGTCGATTAAAGCAAGTTATTTCTTACCAAAAGTTATGAGCATGAACAGATGAACTCCCCACAGATCCATGTCCGTCAGAATTTCAGCTGATGCGTCGGAGCTACTTCACCCACAGCGGGATATTCACAAGGTAAAAGGATGTCCCGTTGCGCGTTTGGAAATCCTCATTTGCGCAAAGATTTTTTTTCTCTCGCTCTTAAAGGGGGCCCTTTTTGCAGATTTAGAGCTGGTGCGGTGTTTCGATGTGTCTCACATTCCCATCAGTTCCCGCGAAGGCGCTCTGATGATGGTCGCGCTTTTGCGCAAAGACGCAGCCATGCGTAATGGTGCGAGTGAAAGTTGCCCGGTGCGCTGCGCCGTCCGGGATGCGCCGCGGGGAGGCTTCTGTGGGGGGCGCGTCGAGGGTGGTCGCAGAAGTCCTTGAGAGTCCGGTGCTGGAGAGATGCTGAGCGCTGGGAAGCGCCGAGGAGGTGGGAGAGAGTGAGAAGTGTTTGTGCAGGAGGAGACATTAAGCAGTCTGGTCACACAGTCAGGGATTAGCCGCGATGAAAAGTGACTTAATGGTAATTCTGCAACGGAAACATCATTATCTTCTACCCCGGAGATCTATAGTGTGCTGTGYACACTGGTTTATTAGGCTCATCTTAACCTTATCTTGTTCAATTTACTTGAACTTAAATATCATCTTATTTTGTTATTCGCTTCATTTAATTCCTTGTATTAATAAATAAGTAAAACATCTAAATAATGTTCTGTTAAAATATTTGGAAGTATTTGTGAGCTAAAGGTTTCCTTTTCAGAATCATTTCTATTTATTCCCTTTCTATCACCTCAAGGTCTAATACTCAGTTTGCTTACATAATATGATCTTTTTTTTTTTTTTTTTTTTTGTCCTTGTGTGGTTTTTAGTTTTTCTGTTAAGGGTAGAAAATAAATGAGCTGCAGATGAAAGGTTTGTTGATACTTCGAGTTGAAGCTGAGGATATGTTGAAAACCTTTCGGTGTGTTTGCACTTAAATGTCTTGTTGCAACTTTGGGACCCCCGACAATCACATGTGCTGATAGAGTTCATACAGGACTCCAAGAAAATTAAACCAAATGGTGAGTCAGTTACTCCTCTTGACCTAAACTGTATTTYGTTTCTTTGCACAAAGGTTTTCGGCTTTTAGTCCAAATTTGTCAACATGCACTATGGAGCTCAGACAGTACAGAAGAGATGAGCTAAAGTGCAAAAAAAAAAAAAAAACTGTAAAGCTCTTTTGGTCAAATTGGCTGAGTTGTAGTCTTTTTTGTGTTTGCTAATGTTGATGAGATGTCCAAAATTTAATGAGTCATWGATGCACATTTAGTAAATGCTACTTGAAAGTTTCATTCATCATGTGCTTCATGATATATTGTGCTAACAGACAAACAGGATGACTCCAACAGTAAATGTCAAAGATTGAATGAAATATATTGCTCAATGAGTAGCAGTAGACATATCTGTTGTGAAATACTCTCAGCTACAACCATATTTAGCACAATATCTTGTAAATTGAAGTTGACTGTGGCAACTATCTTGACTTGAGTTGGCACCAGTTAGAGGTGTACAACCAGGGATTTTTGTGGGAATGTTCATTATCCAGTTTTCTTCAGTATGTTTTTTGGCATGTATCATGTCTTGCAAAWTTTTTTAACTATATAATACAGCTCATGTATCAAAATGTTCCGCTCCTTCAGGACATTCCAGCTATGTTTTTTGCTTTTTCAGTAATTTATATTTTCTGAGATATTTAGCCTTTTTTGGTCATTTTTRATTCTCATTTCTTCTCTGCTTTGTCAGCTACATTTTTGCTCTTTCCAGCTTTTCTGCAGTTGTACTTTTCTGTTCGTCTTCTTGCCAATTTAATCATTTTATACTTCTTTCAGCTCTTTGCTACAATCKAAGCAACTTTTTAGCCATTTTCAGATCATTTTAGCTGTTTTCTTTATTTGTGATCATTTCAGCTGCTTAATTTAGCAAATGTGCTCTTTCTGCTTCTTTGTCCTAAATTCAGCTACTTAGCYTTTTTTCTGCTAATTTAGGGTTTTGGGCAATCGTAAAACAAATTGCAGAATGTTTTTATCCAGCTTGTTTWTTCTGCAAAAATATTTCAGCGTGAAGCATTCCTGCCACATTTTTGCAGAAATTGCTAATTATCTAGTTTCTTAAAGGTTTGAATAAAATCTGTCCAGTGGTTCATGAGATGTTTTGCTAACAGACAGCCACAGTTGTCTTTAGATAGTGAATAATATAATGTATACAACTGTCTAATGCTTACTGTTTGTGCTCAGATCTTGGCGATGAGTCTCATCTACAACTTTAATAAAGTTTACATATCTAAAGCATTACTGAGTTGTGGCATATTTGTAGTTTTTAGTCAGTTGTTTATGTCAGCCATCTTGAATTGAAATGACTCAAAAGGTAAAGTTTAGTTAGTCAGATTCAGATGTGCGTTCACTGATTACTCTCTGCAAGTTGCATTAAACTCCACCCAGTTATTTATGAAATAYTTTAATAACAATCAGACACTCAGACACACAGACACTGGCGAAAACATTATCMCTCTGCCTTCGCCTTTTACGGTGGGCTGAAAAACCAACACAAAAAGACAGACGATGACTCTCACAGTTTTCATCATCTTTCCATTTTTATGTTTCGGAGGAGCACCTCAGTAGATCAGGATCGTTTGGATTTTATTGGCTCGTTTCTTTTTGCCGCACCTTCAAAACAGCGACAACAGACGGCGTTTCCAGATGATTTGTGCAAACAAAGCTGGTGAGGAGCAGATAACAAAGGGTCACCATGTTGGATCACCCAGGCGCAGTGTGCGTTTTACTGTATGTGTGTGCAAGTGGCTGTAAACCAACCCATAGGCTCAAAAGGATGATCCAGCTTTGTTCAAAGACGAACTGAAGACTTCAGTTAAGCTATTTCCTCTGCTGTAGTTCTCCACTGGACTGACGGAGCGGGCAACATTATTTCAAGCATTTAGTTGTTTCAGATTTTTTCATTTGATGCTTTTTTTATCTTTTTTGCTGAAGAAACAAAATGAAAACACTAAGTGTGAAACGTCTTCACGCCTGAACGATTGTAATTTTCCCTCTCTAACAAGCTTGCTGTGAGCAGATCTGGAACAATATATTAAACATCTCCATTGGGACTTGGCGCGCTTAAACATGGGGAGAAAGTCTCTGAAGCTGCTCTTTGAATCTTAAAGGAACAACTTTGTGCCATGGGGATGTCTTGGTAAAGTACATATTTGCACTATATAGCTATAATTCAAGTCAGCATTAAAACGGATGACTAAAAAAAGACATGAGGAGAGAAGGTATTTTATGTTTTTTAACCAGTCTCTGCATTAGTCCCAGTGGGACTGGATGGTAAAGAACAGACAAACTAATGTGATCTGAATCACCTCAAGTTTTCTTGTGCAATGTGCCATTTCTGTCTCTTAAACAAGAAGCCCGAGTTTCCCCTGATTAATTTGACTATTTTGTCCCATAGATGCCAACAGGTTCAAGATATTTTACCCGTCTAATGTTCTCTCAATTTAAAGAGAAGGTGCAGTGTAAACAGGAAAGATGGACAGCTCTCATTTCTTTCTTTAGGCTAACGGACATTGATTTCCTTTCTTTGTGAGCCATAGCAGAGGACACAACATTAATCAGTAATTAGTTACTTTACCTGGAATCATTCATGTGTCAAAGCAATCAGAACTGTAAATATTCATGGAAACCAATTAGCAGCTGTTGTGATTGCCAGATGCTTTTTTAGTGATTTTTTTTTCCAGATTTAGATTTATTTTATGTAAGATGTGTGTTTTAAGCTTTCAAAATGTCTTACAATTTATTTTATAGTCTTCTGTGCTGTTTGTCCTATCATTCTATGTAGGCAAATTACGAGATGGAGAACAAGAGTAAAAGTAAAAAATCTATTAAATTCTTCAAAAATAAGAAAGAGTGATGCTCCCAGTTAAGGAGCTGTTCTCTAGTTTCTTTCTTTTTCTTCTTTTTTTTTTTCCTGATTTAGGGTACAGCCAGCATCGCTTGGCATCCAGATCCTCCCATTCTCAGTAAGCGTTTGGAGAAGAGAAGGAACTGTCAAAAAGTACAAACAAAACGTGTTTGGTCAATGGGTGAGCGGTGTGCCAGATTAATTAAAAATTACACCAGCAGAATAAATCACAAATATGAGGGCAGCTGTCAAGGTGGGTACACCGTGGGTGACAAAATAAAGCGCACGGCCTAGAACATGGTTTTGCAAGCCGAAATAGTCCAGGATTTTCTAAATGTGGGCAATGCGAACACATGGCTCACTTGTTGCTTGGTCATAAACACTTGGAAATCAGTGAGACTGCAACAAGATTGCATATTTTCTCACAATTTGGAGTCACCAACAGTGTCCAACAGCCAAGACGTCCCAAAGAGATYCTAGCTTTACTGCAGAAGAGACTAAAAAAAACTTGTCATTGCTACTAAAATAAAACTACAACCCCTGGCAAAAAGTATGGAATTACCAATCTTGGACGAGCACTGATTCAGACATTTCATTCTGTAAAACTAACTCAGATCAAAAACATGATACAATAATAAGGTCATTCCGAAGCGCAATTTGTTGGCTTTCAGGAACACTCAAAGAAATGAAGAGAAAACATTGTGGAAGTCAGTGAATGTTACTTTTATTGACCAAGCACAGGGAAAAAAGTATGGAATCACTCAATTCTGAGGAGAAAAGTATGGAATCACCAGTCTTAGAAGAGCACTCATTCAGACATTTCATTCTGTAAAACAAACTCAGATCAAAAACATGATACATGAACACGGTGTCCTTATTTTCTACCTCCAATTTGAGTGATTCCATACTTTTTTCCTCAGAACTGAGTGATTCCATATTTTTYCCCTGTGCTTGGTCAATTAAAGTAACATTCACTGACTTCCACAATGTTTTCTCTTCATTTCTTTGAGTGTTCCTGAAAGCCAACAAGTTGCACTTTGGAATGACCTTATTATTGTATCATGTTTTTCATCTGAGTTTGTTTTACAGAATGAAATGTCTGAATGAGTGCTCATCCAAGACTGGTGATTCCATACTTTTTTCCAGGGGTTGTACTCTTAATGATGGTATTGATGCAATAATTGTCAGTTATGTTCTTCTAAGATAACCTCAGCTGACAAATTTTAAAAACAAAAACTTGCTGGGAAGCAACCATTTAGCATGATTATGCAAATAAAAGTTACTTTACACTGGGAAACCCGTTAGCTGCTGCGTATTAGCTAGATCTTGCAGCACTATGGGAGATGAGTGCAGCTATGTAGCATGCTTTTAATTTGTCAGACAGATGTACGCCGCCGTACAAAATGTGTCTCCTGAGATAACAGCGTGTCCCAGGAAGCTGTCATAGCGAGTCAGCAGGCACAATAGCGCACCTTGAAAGTGAAAAACCTTAAACGGAATTAAATTCCAGATTTACACCTCTGCTTTCCCCACCGCAA